GATTCCCTTTAAATGTGCAAAGGATTTGGGCTTATTTATTCAACCTTTAAATTGGTATCTGAGCACAGCCATCCACTGGAGCTTCCTAATGCTCTAAGATATTCACCCAGTTGTGAATTCCATTAATTGTGAATTCCACAACTCCAGCTCATCGTAAAATGGAGGTCATGCTCTACAAGTTGGAAAGTTTCTGTTTCCCCGCTGTAATCACACACGTGCGGAAAAAGAACGAAGCACGTTTCTTTAGGGCCAGGGTGCTGTTCCTCCCCATTCCTTGATATTATTTGCCACTAAGAACAAAAGAAGCAGGGTTTTGGGGGGGGGGATTCTTTGTAGTGCAAAGGCATTCATTTTTATTCGTGCTCATTACAGTGCATTTGAACTGGGGGCAGGATGGGCAGAAGAGGTTTTAGCTACGATACCTCTCTGCCCAGCTTCATGCGCATGATGGCAACTCTTTTCCTTCTGCCACTCGGCAGAGCAAATGTTATACAATGTTTTCCACGTTTTTGTGGTTGGTCTGCCTTGGTAAGGTATCAGTTCCTTGAGCAATCTCTGACTGCAACAGAGGCGACTTGCTGTATGTCCATCTTCAAAGCCACTCTCTGCTCCTACTTGGCCCCACCGGTCAAAACTCCTCCCTTTCCTTCAAGGTTTTTCCTGAAGATGTGCCCTCTCCAAAGCAAAGGGACGTCCCGCTGACGTTGGTCAGGGCAGGAAAGCTGGTAAGGGTCCCTGCTTTAGCTCTATAACGCAGGAAGCTGCCCCCCCAACTTCAGATCATTTTTTTTAACTCCGCCCCATCCTGGCTGAGCATTAAACTTTTTGCTGTGTCTGTAACGACTTGAAAAGCTGCTTCAGCTGTTTCTTTCTGTCATTGTTGTAACCTGCAGTGGAGGAGATAAGATGGTGCTAGGTAAAAAAATCAGGTGTCTGGTAGCACCTTTTCTTACTAATGCGTTTTATTCAAAGGCAGAAGCTTTCGTGAGCTGCAGATGCACAGAGTAAGGGGTTCCGAACCGATGGTTCTCTGCTTCAATCCGATTGAAAGGACCCCCAGAAGAAAGGGTAGAAACCTCACTTGTCCCTTTGTCCCGAGTCTCATGGAAATGGACAGAGGAACAAGCCGCGTCTCATCCATGGGGCGTCAAGCCAAGGAGGAATGACAACCTCTTGTCCTCACTCCCTGCCTTTTGGGTGCAGCCATTTTCCAGGTGGTGGAAGATGGAAAACCAAACCAAACCAAAGTGCTTTTCGAAGTGCCCGTGTTCAGCATTTTTCAGCGATTGGCTTCCAGGCAGGAGACCGAGGCTCAGCCTCCCCAGAAGGTTCCTTGGTGGACAGGCCCACCGCTACCCGTGGCCAGCCTCCGAAGCATTAGCAGTCAACCCCATCAACCCCTCCCAACAGCCATCCGGTAGAATACCTAGGTGTGTATTTGCCACAAAACCGTTCATTGGCGTATCCAGATTTCCATCTTCTCTGCTGACGGGGCCATCGTTCCATATTAGATCAAAGCCCCCAACGCGCTTTTCCTTCCCCGTCAAACTGCAAGAACAAAGGGTGAGTATCAAGTGCCCATGGCTTCACAGAAGGGCCTCTTTGCTCACCAGGAGTAGAGGCTACTTTGCTCCAGGGGCTGCAACTGGCGCAGCTGATGAAAAGGGGAGTAACACAAGAGTTTTTCTGAGTTTCTGCGGCCAAAGAAACGGGAAGGTGTTCTACAATGAAGAGTGCTCTGCTTTCTACATGCCTTTTGCTGTTAGATACTTCTGGTTGACCTCCAAACTGTGACTTTGGATTCCATGTAAGGATAAACCCCAATGATGGGTTGGGAGAAACGTGGGCTTAGTTTCTTCATCTCCGGCAGCTGAACCGACAAGCCAAACAGGGTGCAAAGAATGTGGAGCACAGGAAGGTGCAGCCGACATGCTTGTAGGTTGTAATTATTTTATCCTATTTGATGCCTTCTTAAACATCAGCTACCTTCATACAACGTGCTTATCCTATTTAATCCATTTTCTGGATTTGCACATTCCAATTCCACATTGCAAATGAATGGCCTGAACGTCCTGGCTCATCTGCGTAATAATCCAGCATATGATAGACAAACATTGTCTTCGTTTAATATTAAATGCTGCAGGTCCTTTAGTTGGAGTAGATTAAGAGCACAAATAGATTTAACACCAGGGCTAGGAATTAAAAGAGAGGTCCTCGCACAACAGAAGCCTGGGAATCTGTTCCTGAGAGAGAACAATGTTGTTGAGGGACAGGCTCTGTTTCGCTTACACCCACAATTGGAAGTTCTTCCCTTGTGGGAAAAGACGTGCTAAATGGTCAAAGGATCTCATTCTTGACCTCTGGTCAAATTTACTCTTCACCAATATGATGCCTGCTAGATGGGTTGGGCACAACTACCATCATCCCCAGATAGCAGAACTACGGGTTGGTAGTTTGATCTATCTGGAGGAAACCAGGTTGAGGATGGTGGGCCTAAATGATTATGTATGGGCAGATCTTGGTTTATGCAAGAAACAACAAGAAAACCAGTAAGTGAGGATAATAAGGAGCTTGTGGCTACACCTCTTGAAAGGTTTTCTGGCGTCTGTTGCATCCCAAGGTGATTAGTGGAAAAGGTGGGTTGAAACGCCCCTCACTCTCTGTGTGCTCTACTCACCGGCCTTCCATGTCCACAATGTTCAATGTGTCCTCCAGGAGGCGTGTCTTGAGGTCATGGTCTTCCTGGCTGCTAGCAGTGAGAGAAGGAGAGGCATTGACCTCTAGAAGCCACCTGTCCGGAGCAGCACAAAGAATGTCAGAAGAGAATTCACAGCATGCTGGGGTGGGGAGGAAGCTTGGAGGTCTTCTAGTCCAACCCCTTCCCAAGGCAGGAATTCTTAGACCATCCCAGGCAAATGGCTGGCCAACCTTAGCTTGAAAACTTCCTGTGATGGAGCCCCCACAACTTCTCCAGGAGGCAGGCCATTCTCCTGCTTCAAGGCTCTATGGTTGGGAAATTTCTCCTGCTTTCAAATTTGGATCTCTCTCTCTGTAAAGCTTCCACCCGCAGGCTTGTCTTGTCTTACCCACAGGCACCATGGAGAATAAATCCACCCCCTTTTCCCTGTGACAACTCTTCTAGTATTAGAAGATCATTATCTGTCTCCCCTCAGCCCTCTCTTCTTTAGGCTAAACCGACCCCATTCTTGTAACCACTCTTCGTAGGATTTAGCCTCCAAGCCCCTCACCATTGTTGTTGCTCTTCTCGGCACACTTCCCAGTGGTTCAGCATCCTTCTATTTGGGCTTCCCCATTTTCCGCCCTCCCTGTACTGAACCACAACTGCCATCCCGCATCACATGCTCAGCAGGTTGGAGAAGGTTGTGCTTGGCTTAATGAGGCTGCAGCTAAGCAGGAGGGTGATTTAGACTTAGCCTTTATCTTTGCAAGAAGGCAACTGAAGACATTTCTCCAGCGTGCTCAAGGCTTTGTCATCTTACCAAGCCCTCAACCCTCGAGGCCAGAGCCCTACTCACAATAGGTCATTCCATGGCTAAGTCAGCTTGCCAAGGGGGCTGGTTTAAGATCACGAGGGAAGCCAAACCAAGGTTAATGCAACCAAGTTCAGCAACTTGTGCAAATGCTATGTGATGTTATGCTAATGTGCTATGCTAATCACACTGAGTGACTAACTCGGTGTTTCTCAACCTTGGCAACTTTAAGATGCGTGGACTTCAACTCCCAAAGCTGGCTGAGGAATTCTGGGAGTTAAAGTCCACGCATCTTAAAGTTGCCAGGAGCCCTGTTTTTTAAAGGCACCCAAAGGACAGTGCAGTATATAAGCAACTGGCTTCTCTTTTCTTTGTAAGAGACAGACTTCTGCTCAGTGACCCTCTGGGATATCACCAATAATTTCAAATCACAGCCAAAGTTGGATTTGGGATTCAGATTTTGAACAGCCAAACTATGCCCTGTGGAAGTGAGCAGAGTGGACAAGTGCGCAAAGGGGCTGCTTGGCGTCTGGTTTATCAGCATCTTTTAAACCAAACTGTCTCCAGGGTGGGAGCAACGCTGCCGAGTTACCAAGGGTGCTAACCAAACCAACAGCCACAGCGCCCAGGTAGTGGGAGAGGGAAGAGGAAAGGTTTGAGCAAGGGCAAAAAACGCTCAGACAAACAGGTCAGGTTTCCATTTCACTGCGCCCGATGGCCTTGTCAAGGATAAATGGCAGCTGTCTTTGAGGATGCACAGGACAGTACAATTCAACCTTGACGATAGTTTCTCCCTGGTTTTCCATCTCCTTTCGCTTCAGACAAGAGAGATGTCATTTAGCTTTTCTTAACTCCTATGAATTTGCTCCTCAAACCCAAAACAGGGTTCCGATCAGTTTAATTTTCAAGGCGTATCCCAAAAGGACCCCCAAGGACTAAGGCTTCTGTTAAACACTCTTCTTCCCTCCTCCTTTCCACAGCTTAAGGCTGCAAACCTGTACCCGTTTCCATTCCGTGAGACTGATTACACAGTCAGTAAGTAACAAAGGCAGAACTCCAAACCAGCCTTCTCCAAGCTGACAAGCTGATGCCCTCCAGACATCCCACCTCATTCCCGCTTCTTTGGAACCAAAGCTTTAGGCCTCCCATGCTGTAGCCACCTTTGGTCTGTACAGCATCCAGAATTTGAAGTCAAGACTGGCTGAAAATTACAAGCCACAGACTTTGGCCAAAAAAGTGAAAGGTGGACATCCCACACCCTTGCTCCTCCAACTTCCGCCTGTGCCAGTAATTCTTCAGTGAAAGTTACGCCTTTCTCTTCAGCCCCCTTCGAAACTTTCTCTGGCTTTTCTCAAGGGTTGGCAGCTGCTGACCTGGCCTGGCCCGGCCCACTCTCTCACCCCAAGACCACTCCCAGCCCTCCTTACGGCTTGAGGTCCTGATCGATCAGAATATCGTAACCGTAGAGCTCAAAGCAGTGCTTGTCGCTGATGATCACTTTCTGGACACTCTGCAGGCTCTTGATGAAAATGTTGTCCATCTCGGAAAAGAGCATCTCCACAGCTTCGGCCCCGTGCTTGGCCGTCAGGAAGAGGCGGAATTGCTGGATCATCCACTTGCAGCCCTGCCGACAAAGAAAGCCGGAGGTGGGACTTTGCGTCAGGCCCACGAGCGCCTGGTGGAGGACCACGTGTGGCGTCCACCTCCAGATGCAGAACCTGAAGGACTCCAGATCTTCAAGTCACTTCCCTTTCTTTGGAGCCATTCCCACTTTTCCTGGGTCGGCCAATGACACATCCACAGATTTGGGGATTTATTTCGCTCTTCGCTGGTCAGATGGCTATTTCACATTTTCATCGGGAGCTCAAGGTTTTGTACAGAGCAGCTCTTCCTCCAGTTTTCCCTCCCTGACAACCCTGTTGCTGAGTGAGAGTGACGGCCCAGAGTCGCCCTGTGAGTTTTCAGGGCGGAGGGTGGGCTTGAACCCACGTTTCCCAGGTCCTGGTCTGACACCAAGCCAGGGGTACCCTTGTGGACTGCTGGTATCAAAAAAACTCAAGATGACAGCCGTGGCCACACCATCGATGCTGGCTTCGTGCAGCCATGAAGTTACCATTGTGGCATTTTTGACACCTGCCCTTCCCCACACCATCATTATTGTAAAATAAGAAATAGCTGCCTTGGGGCTTTGTCCTTATTTCTTATTTTAAGCTTAATTTTAAAAATGGGATTCTTGTAAACTGCCCAGAGAACTATTGCCTTACAGGGCAGGGATCAAGAGATAGGTATAGAACGAATTTTTAAAAAATGCTTACTTTCTCAGGATCGTAGTCAGGGGCCGTCTTCTGCACAGCTACGTTGGTCAGGTGAATATCTGGCGTCAAGTGGGAGTAAGGATTGCGCAAACGGGAAGAAAAGCCGCCCAGAGTCACCCACTGGGGGAGATGGGTGGCATACAAATTTAATAAATAAATAAGGAAAGCGTGCTTTGGCTCCTAAAAGGGTTTTCTCCTCCTCCAACTACCAATTCACTGATCCTCCAACCCACGTCCTTGGGGTCCTGGCCGCAAAAACGTCTACCACCCAAAAGAAAGAGAGAAAATCGATCCCCACCCTGCTTTACTGGAAGGAGATCCATGCAGAAATATGCATCTTGCTGTCAGCATAGGAGAGCTTTCAGCTTGTAGTTTTGGAGTCCTGAGACGGATTTCCTTCTTTCCTCCCCTCCTTACTTGGGGAGCTGAAAAGCTGGTCCAGATATTTATTTCCACTTTTTCTTAAGGGTATATCTAAGTGCTTGTCAACCTTGGCAAGATTAAGATGGGTGGACTTCAACTCCCAGAATTCCCTAGCCAGCATGGGAAACATGGTCTAACATGGTCTAAGTTGTTTTTAAGCTTAAGTGTACCTCTGACAGTGTGAAAATAACCCTCAAATAGGGAGAATAGTAACTTTGCAAATACATTTACCTAACACACATGCTAATTGGGAAATCTCTTTGTGGCAGCTCTTTGAGGGGTGAACCTCTGCATGATGGAGAGTGACAGTAACTACATTTGGGAGCCACTAAACTAGACTCACCCTAATTCTGCCACAAGGAGTTGTAGATCTCTTTTAAACCCTAAGGCAGTGTTTCTCAACCTTGTCCACTTTAAGAGGTGTGGACTGGCTGGGGAGTTCTGGGATGCTGGCATGCTGGCCAGGGAATTCTGGGAGTTGAAGTCCACACCTCTTAAAGTGGCCAAGGTGGAGAAACACTGCCTTAGAGCAACGCCAATCACAAGAAGGTTTGAACGCCCCTTGCCCAAAGACCCAGAATCTCTGATCTGCGCTACCTCCATCTTATGTGCATTATGATTTAATCGATCCACTGTCATTTCCTCATTAAGAAGAACAAAACATGCATGCTGGCTGGGAATTCTGGAAGCTGAAGCCCACACGTCTTAAAGTTGACAAGGGGGAAGGGGGCTGAGGGGAAGAACAAATAGGGTGGGGAACTGACCGTCCATCTCAACAGGATGCCAGCAAAACCACCCAAATTGTGAAATGCTTCGGATGGCAGCTCGAGCCCCAATGCCAGTCTCCTCTGGAGCCCAAGGGTGAGGGGGGGCAAGACTCACGGGGCGGTGGGGCAGGAGAGAGAGCTCCCTGCCAGCCCCACTTCATGACACCAAGCCTGCCTTCCCCAGCAACTAAACAGATCTTTAAGAGCGACTGGGCAATTTTCTGCTTCCTCCAGGGCAAAAGGCCATAACTTAGAAGGTTCCCAGATTCAGCCTCATCTCTTCCCAGGCTCCCGTAGGTGTGCGTGCACATGTGCGTGTATTCCTAATGCATGCATGCACGCAACTTATTTGGCCACTCAGTTCACCAGATGACTCTGGGTGGCTATTGGAAGCCTGGCCACGGGTGTCTGCAAGCGGTAGTCAAAAAAGTCAAGATGGTGGCTGCAACAGTGCAGTGGCAATTCTGCTGGCTTTTTATGAGCCATGCACCAATTGTCTGGCAAGCTGTCCCCAGCCTCTGTGACCATTCCCAGCTGAGGTGGACACCTGGGCAGGGTCCAACCACACCAGCTTAGCGTTCCTCTGCATGCTAGTTACTCCAAACCACGCTGGTTCCCGGGCCGAGCAAGGACATCAGCTCTCCTGGGCTTTCCAGCTGCACGGGGGGCTTCCTGCAGTATCACCCGTCTAATGCCCCTGCCTCCCCTCCCCCTCCCCACACCCAGCAGCCACTCCAATGTCTCTTTGGAAGCAGGCGCCAGGATACAGTGGTCGTCGAGGGTGTTCAGAGTGAAGCGCGTGTTCGAGAAGCGAGCAAAGCCGTCTCGGTACAGCCAAGCTTTGAGGGGGATGTACTGCGGGAAAGAGAAGCTGGTGACAGGAGCCAGGAACATCCCAGAGCTTAAGCAGAGGCGCCCCAGATCGCTCCAAAGTCCCAGAGCCACGGGGATGCGGCTGGAGAGCCCCCAAGCAGGACAGGTAATAATAGAAGCCCCCGCCCCAGCCCAGCCCTATTCCCCAAGCAGAAGGGCTCGAGGAGGAGCGAGGGACAAGTGGCATTGCACGCGTCATGAGAGCATCGTGCAAATGGCACCAAGGGCACACGCGCATCGTTTGCATGATGATGTCATGGCACACAGATCAGAGCCAAAAGGCTCACTCTTCTGGCCATCCCCACCACTAGCCTGATCCATCCTTGGATGATCCTCTTTTCAAGCCATCCGAGTCGGTGGCCTTCAAAACCGCCCCAAGTTCCATCCTTTAATGTTGCGCTGTGGGATGAGCTGCTTATTATGGTCTGTCTCCCTCTCCCACCCTTCTACTTCCCTGGATGGTCTTGGGTTGGAAAATGAGGGAGGAGAGCACTATCGGCTTCCTCCACGCTGGGCATCAAGTTACCTCCCTGCTTCCTTGCCAGGCCAGATCCCATCCCCAGAAATGCAAAACTGAGATGGTTGGGGCCCCGAGGGGCACCCCTCCCCTGCTGATTTTGAATCTCTTCTGCCATCTCGCCCCCCCCCCCCCAAATTTGGTGAGCTGTTTTTGAAGCTTAACGTTTTATGAAAACCACTCTCAATAATGTGGTCTCGCTGATGAAGTGGCAACCTCACTGACTGTCCTAAAGGCCAGATCCCTTTTAAAGACAAAACCCAGGTCCGCTATGGACTCTACTTTGACGTAACTCCATTATGGGAAATCTTGTAATCCAGTTCTCCCCTTCTGACTTGATTTGACCACTTAAAGTTACTGCTCCATAAGAGGGCCCATTCGTATCCTCCGACTTCTGGTAGGCCCAGGACTCCTTCTTGGATTTGGTCAAAAGCCTTTTGGCTGACGGGGCAGGGAAAGGGTGGTTTACTCACCGACATCACTAAAACATACACCCGTAAGTCGAATTTCCGACCTGCCAATCAAAGAGAAATAACTCTATAGAACACTGTTCCGTGATATGGGTTCTTCAAGCCAGGGGTCTCCAGTCATGGGCTGTGATCTCCTGGGAGGTCACAAGTGACTTCAAGGGGGCTCAGGATTTTTTTTAAGTTGATCAGGCTGCTGCAGGGAGGCCCATAGCAGGCTGCTTGGGCACACAAAGCCTGGAGCGGGTTTTGAGAGTTGGTTAAACTCATAGATCTAGCCGTCTGTCAAAACTACCCCCATCACAGCAGTGTTATTATTTCATTATTATTTAGTTGCGTTCACAATGGCTGGCTGGGAAATTCTGGGAGTTGAAGTCCACTCATCTTAAAGTGGCCACGTTTGGACAACACTGTTATAGAGTATATTGACAGACTCTTGAAAGCTCATCTCAGACTTTCACTGCCTCTTTTGAAGGACAACAAGGTCAAAAAGGGCTGCTCTGAGTCACTTTCTCACTCTTTTTAGTTTCCCAGGGCTGAGCAATTGTTTCATTCCCCGCCACCACCTCCTTCTCAAGACCTACGTTCCTCTACAATAGCTGAGGATGTCCTTTTTGAGTATCACTGCCATTCTATTCCATTGTATGATCTCCTGCTGTAATCATGCAATCATTTGAATTAAAGTGGCCCGTTTTGATTTAACTAAGTTCCCTTTCTCCTAAGCATCCATTTTAGCGCACTTCATTTCCACTTAGACAGTTTCAGCTTTGTGGAGTCCTTGGTGCTCTCTGAGCATGGTCGTTTGCTTGCAGATGTTTCATTACCCAGCTAGGTAAATCATCACACTCACCAAAATTGGCTGGGCAACAAACCCCACACTCACTCGCACTGATGGTGCTCCCTGTTTCCTGTATTCCTGTTTTCTAAGCTCAGAGAGCACCAAGGACTTCACAGTTCAACCGTGAGCTACAGAGATTCTCTTCTATTGGACTTTCAAGTTTCCTTTGACTTGTGCTTCTCACTTCCACGCTTGATTTGCATGTCCTTGTAAAACAAAAAATTGCTGCTTGAGTACCAGCATCCTCCATGGCCAGGCTTCCTTGTGGCTTTGGTCTGGCCACATCATCACCTCTCGTTCTACTCATGGAAGTTCTACTCATGGAAGTTCAACCACCCCAGGAACCAGAGAAGTTGCTTCTGATACCTAAACTTGCTTAAGTACTTCAACTGCATATTTTTTTGAGCAACAAAACAGAAATGTTTTCCCATTGCCTTCTTCTGGTTTTGGAGATCTTTCTCCTGTTCAGTCAGTCAGTCAGTCATACAGTTTATAGACCAATGACTCCAGAGCCCCACCTAACATCACCACCGTTATGGATTCCCCTTAGCTTCCTCAGTCCGTTTGGACTTTTCAGCAACGGTGGTCCTACTAGGAGTCCTGCATCACTCTCAGGGTCACTGAAGCTACTGAGGCCTCCCACCAGGTCAAGGAGGCAACCCCCTGGGAAGATGAGAAACAAAAGATAGACAAAAATGTCCCCTCTTCCCTCATTCAAGACTAATTTGGGACGTGTAATCACCTGAAAAATCATTTCAACTGCACTTTGGTGAACATAATTTCCACTGGAGATCTGCACGGGTAGATGCTCTCCAAGAAGTTTGAATCAACTGCTTCTTAGTGAAGACATGGCTAGCCTAGGAAGTTATAGCCTGATTAAAAGAGTGTTTGTGTATCTGTGTCTGTTGAATGTACATTCGGTAGGCACGTGAATGGGCAACTTACCACCTATTAAATATGGGTTCTCGATATAACGCTGAGCGACGTAATTCTCCACTGGAATTTCATCTTTCTGATCATCAAGGCGAACGCCATCCTGGGAAAGAAACCGGGTGCCCTGCTCAGTTGAGGAAGAACAAGACTAGCACCTGCAGGGACATATGGGAGGGAAGGGTGTCAAAAGCCAAGATGGTGCCTGTGACCATGGAACTGGAGGCCTGACCTTTTCCCACATGCACTGGATCGCATGGTTGCAGCCTTCATCTTGACTCTTTGACCACCTGCGGATGCTCCTCCAACTGGCCACTATCTGGAAGGAGCAGCAAAGCTGCCTCCCATCCATCAAAGCTCCTGGGAAGCCCAGGGATGGCTGTACAGCACCAGGTACCACAGATGGGAAGAATTCCAGGGGCTCAGAGGTGAGGCAGGAGCTCCTGCCAGTGCAGGGCAGCCCATCCTACAGTCCCCAAGGGAACACGTCAAAATGAACAGCAGCGAGGCCGATCGTTACGTGGTTCAGTTGCAGGGTGTCAGGAGGACACAGGAAAGGAGCCCACTGTTGGCCCTTGGGATAGGCCAGGTAAAGAACCAGGCACGACATGGATTCTGGGAATGCTCTTTCTTGTTGGAGGACAGAATAACCGAATCTTGAAAGCTTGTCAGAATTCCCCCACTTACACCGAATGAAATCAAGGTGGGCCTTCTTTCTCATGCCTTCCCCTTTCCCAGGACCCAGTGGTCTTTTCTCCTCCCTTAACATCCTCTCTCTCTTTCCCTCCCCAAGGTCAGATCTACCTTCCTTCCCACCCATGAACAGGGAGCCCAACCGTCCTTGGAGTGCTTTGGAGAGGCACCCTCAGTAGGCTTTGCAAGCAAATGAATCCACCTGACATCCTTCTGCCTCCCCCTTTGGAGCCTCCTGGTTGGACTGGCGGGGAGAAGGTGAGGTTCCTCCATTCAGATCCTCAAGAGCTTCGGTCTCTGACAGGACTGGATGGGAACCCACCTGAGCATGCCACCCAAGGAGGGAGGACCAGCATCCGTCTTTCCAGACCAGAAGCCTTGACACCACTGAGAACCTGAGAAGGTCCCGCTGATGGGTCCATTGCAGAGCCTCAAAGGGACAGCAAGAGCCCACCCTCCACGGCGGACGAGCCCCGTGTCCAAAGAGTCCAAGAAAACTAAAGGCGCCAGCCTCAAGCAGCTGAAGCCAAAGGGCTGCTCACCGAGCCAAGCTTCAAGGTGGGCTCTTCCCAACTAATCCCTTCCTGAGAGGTGAGAAGAAGGAGGCACCTCACCTTCCTCCAGTCAATCACATCCTTGAGTTTCCGGAAGAGAAAAATGCCCCTCCCTTGAGACCGGGCAACCTGGCGGAGGCAAAGAAGAGGGTTACTCACCTTCCTGAGGGGCTGGGCTGCAGCTGTGAGCTTTTCTTTTCACAGGGTAACCAAAATGTGCAAATACATCAATAAAGGAATCAAAGGGGTGATGTTTGGACCTGCAAGGAACTGGCACGCGGGGCTGAACAAAAGATAAGGGGGAAAAGTTTCTCATCGCTTGATAGCATTTTTTTAAATGGATGACACTAGGAATTTAATGGGGGACCATAATCAGGGGCATCTGCTGGGGGGGGGCAAAATGATGGCCTCTCCCCTGTGATTAAAGTGCCAGCCCTTTTTTACACGTATCAGGGGCGGGGCTTTGATTGTACGGCTGTGGCTTTTTGGACCTCTTCTGCAGACCCCACTGATAAACGTGCAACGCGGGTGCTTCTGCCCGGAGCCTCTGCCCACACTCTGCAAAGATCTAATTTAGTAGGGAGGCTCTGAACTGGGTAAATTACAAGCCTAGCAGCTGCGTTCACACAGTACACTTAAGCTTGGTTAGTTTTATCCTCGGGTGAGTTTTTGCACGGCTCGTTCTGTTGTGTAAAGACAGGCTTCGGGGTTAGCTATGATTTGGGGCACTGTGTGAAGCCAGAAACTGGGCTGAGCAGATAAAGCACATAAGTGCAGAGAGCCATTGAGAGCAACTCAATGTGACTGAGATCCAGGTCCAAGGGTCTCAGTCTGGGGACGGAAGGAATAAAGATCCTCACGGAAAAAACCCAGAGGCTTCATCATCCCTTCTCTACAAAACCGATGCTTCCTCAGCTCCCACTAATCAAAACACTGTTTTCCTGAGAAAATTGACCTCTTTGCGAGCGTGCGTTTTGTCTCCGGAGCCATCCAAACTTTCCAGCCGCAGCACTGAAAGGCCAGTGCTACTCATCTTATCTCTGGTGTGTTTCTAAAGCTGACAGTCCCATTTTATTTAGCAATATAAAAGGAAACACTTGATGGTGTGCTGTGATACAGAAGTTTTATGGGACCAATTTTGAGATGGTGGCATTACTCATGAGTGGCAGTGCCACTGCTGAGTTACGCTGGCCATCCCAAAGGGAGCCAGTAAAGCCTTCCCAACCCCACAGATCATTCTGCAGCCTGTCTCTCCTTCCCCGTGTCGAGCAACACATATTTCAGTCTGGCAACTCCCAAACAGCTGCCCCAAAGTCCTCGCAGGACGCAGAATCCACCTGCTTCCCCATCTGTCGGCTGCTTCTGGGGCCACTGTCAGAACATCACCAGAGGGATCTGTGTGGGAGGGGGTCAGAAAAGTCAAGATGGCAGCTGCAACGGTGCAATCAAAGCCTTGCCCCTTTTTAACGTTCAATTGCCCACTTGTGGCCACCATCTTGACTTTTTTGACCCCCCCAGTTCCTGCAGCATTTTTTTCCAAGTTGAAAACCTCCCCTGAACTAACGTAGCACAAAGAGCAGTTTCAGGAGGGAAATTTCTGCTGGGAAAAAGCCGATCATTACTTTAGCAGAACGACTGGCTGATTTAAATTCCCTCCCTCCTCCCTTCTAGCTGGCTTTGCACTGAAGAAGCCTACTGGAGATCTCTTGATTTCTTCCCTAATTCCGTGACCCCCTTAAAAAGGGCGAAGGGCTTCCATCGCACAGCTGCCATCTTGACTTTTTCTAAACACCGCCGCCCTGTCCCCTCCACAGACACCCCCGACAGCAAATGCAGCTTTGGGCCTCCTCCCCAAATTGCATTAGTAGCTACGCTGGCTAATGAAATCATTAGGGCAGCCGGAGAAGAAATTTAATCCTTAGAATTACCTCTGGAGGAATTATTGGCGTTCTTAAGAGTTGCAGCGATTTTACAGACCGTGCGACAATGCTCCCCATTGGGGGAGATGGGCGGCATACAAATTTAATAATAAATAAATAAATAAATAAACAAGCAAGGTGGGTATTCCACAGCAATGGCGTTGCGATACCCCTGAGCTGTGGACTGGGTCTTTCCGTGGGTTTCTTAATCGTGTTTTTAACATTGCTTTTTATTTTTATTGTTTTGTTTTTATATTGTTTCTAATGGCTGTTTGCTGCTCAGAGTAACATATTTGAGATGGGCGGCTGAATACATTGAAATAATAAACAAACAGACAAACAGGTTAGTCAGAAACCCAGCGGATGCATTCCCACAGCATGTTAAATTTGGTTCGTGTTAAGCTTGGCTAAGTTTTTCTGTGGCTTAGCAGGTCGTGTGAATCCAGACCATTTAGGGGGCAGCCCAGGAAGTGGGCTTAGTTGATCAGCCAGGAAAAGCGGGTGGTTTCAGTGCAGCCCAGAAGCGATGGGTCGATCCACAGACGCACAATTCTGCTCAAGCCCTCGATGCAACCTGGAAATCCTGATCCTTCTCCCCCGACACCCCCGTCCAAGAAAAAAGCCTTTGGCCACCATGCGGATCACTGGTTTCTGTTCATCTTTGGCTGCAGCCCTGTGATTACACGGGGTTATTTCATTTAAAACTTCACTAGGTTTCAGGGTGCCCCGCAGGGCAAGGAAGCGGTCGATCTTCCGGAGGGCCCCTGCCGCCTTCTGCTGGGACCCTCGGGGAAATTGCTCCTCTTTTCCATGCGGCCATTTGCCTTTGGGGATAAAAAGAATACATTGGCGCAGGGGCGTTTGGAGGGTATGATCCAAAAAGTTGGCCGCTAAACCCGAGTCGCAGACCTCCAGAAGATCGCCGGAGGGCAGCAAACACCACTTTTCTGCAGGTCTTTGCTGCCTGCTGCCCTCTAGTGCTCTTCCCAGGTCTGGCATCCAGAGGCTCCCTTGACCCTCCTTCTGCCCTAGGCCCCCTGCCTGCTCTGCCCCCCAACCAGCTCTCTGACAACTGGGCCATCCGAACCCCTCCCTGCCCGACCTACCCCAGCCGCAGCCAGCCATCTCCGGGCGCGGCTTGCTCTGTCGCTGCAAACCTTTCTCGGAAAATGGTTTGCCTTTTTAAATCCACTTTTCCCTAAATCTCAGGGAGGGGGGCAGATCATACGTTCAAAGAGATTAAATGGAAGAGAAGTCCCCCCCCACCTGCCTTGCTCTCCCACTCAGCACAAGGCTGCTATTTGTAACCTTTTAAACACAGCCTCAATTTAGCAGATCCTCATTTCCTCCCTCATGCTAACGGAGGCTGTGGGCCCCAATTGCCTTAATGTAAGGTTTCTTGCTGGCAATTAACGCAAATTATCATTTGTGGAGTTAGATAATCTCCTCTTGGCAGTAATTCACGGGCTTGTTTGCATAATGGGCCCTCCTTTATGGGGGGGAGGCGCTGCTGGCCGGGGCTGGCTGCGATCTGCCCAGCCGAGGACCTGCCCCACTGCCTTGCGGATGGGCGTGGGGGTCATTTCGTGCAGCAGGAGCTTATCCAGGGTGCTGAACGCCTCCCTCTCATCAGCTCCCGGGGGTGGGAAGCAATTACGGGGAGCGCTGGGAAGGGCCTGGAAAGAGGCAAAGGGGGGAGGATGGGGGGCTGAGACTCCAATGACCAACCAACCGAAGGGAGGGGTCAGGGTTTATCTGTTGGATTTGAGGAGCATGGAATGGAAAAGGATTGTGCCTGTGATTCTTGCAGGACAGCAAGGATGTGTTCAGCCATAGCTGACCCTTCTATGTTAGCCTATACCTAACCTAGGTACCCCTTCATGGATCACTGCCTTGTCGTGGCGAAGGGGCTTGCGTAACTCAGTGAAGC